CACCGAACTGTCTGTAGCATATTAGACAAGTTACCAATCACGTCATCTAATGCACTAGATGCTGATCACCCTTACGTGATCTGCCTTGTGACAAATGGTTTTATCAGGTATGTATTTCTGTGCATGATGAAATTAATACGAAATACCGTTTTGTATTCAAGACAGCCTCCATGGTGCACTTGACACACGAAATCAGTCCTAACTACCTTTCGGTTCACAATGATCATTCCACATCTCAGTCTGAGTGCCCTGCCCAAATGATTGTCCACGTGACGGAAGAACGAAGATCCAAAATCACTCCGAGGACAGAAAGTCCGGAAGTTCAGATGCATTCCCGCGGAACACAAGTATCCGCTATCACTGCACCAGTACTGTCTTTTTTGCTCGAACAGTGGACATCTGTCCAGATTCGATACAGGATTTCTAACAACTATTTATGAGGTTTATAACGTGATCGTATTGATGCAGATAACAACTGTATTGAACATCCAGTTCTGACATCTGGTCTCCGTACTAGCAGTTTTTAAATTCCTTTATTCCGTTAGGAAGAAACCTTTGAAAGAAAACACAGCAGCCCAGTGTTGTACAATTTGTTTCCTAAAACAGTTCACTGGATCTCTCCAGGTGTATGCTATATTCCAAAAAATATAACGAAAACTTACAAGTTACAGTTACCGTGCTTCAGCTATCAGTGTTGAATTCGTCAATCTTTCTGCCAAAGCAGGACTACAGTCATAAATAGCTCTTTCTGTTTGCACAGCTCAAGTGTTCCTTGTTTTACAGCAATCCTCTGTGTAAAATTGTTCAACCGAGAATTTTGTGTGAAGAAAAATCTTTTGAAAAACACTTTCGGGGCTTATACCGGCACCCTACCCTCTGCCCTGATATCTGAAAACTGAATGCCCTAGTAACGTGCATTTAATGTCCAGCCCCTAACATATGACGACCTATGGATGACGCTGGTGTGCTGCATTCGGTCGGCCTCTAACCTTGATCATTAAGCTGTGATTCGTTCATCAGTTTATTAACCAATACAGGACACTGTCCGGCTACTCTCCCTTTCTCACTCGAAGCTGCCGCTCGGTTCTCTCCAGGTAGTTTGTCGAACACCCCCAGATTAATCTGTACAATTGATGGGTTTTGGTTTTCTGAGAAAGCGGTTGCCTAAATGACTGTATTGAATGTTAGTTTGATGGACGAGTTTAGGCGGTGCTCCAACGAATTACTCACGTCATCACCTTTGGGTGGTGGTTTGCGAACAACCTTATACTCCATTATGGATGTGTCGCTCTACATTCAGACGTTGAATACTACGCCTTTCCACAAACTAGTTGTCCTTGGGAGTTTTCTTCAGTTTTACCATTTTATCTTCGAAATTTGTCTCGCACAGTCAAAAAGTATCCTCACTAACCCTATTTTGTAACGGGTGAGAACGAAACTGGTGCGGTGCGGTTTTGATCCGTCTACATTGCGTTTTCGATGAACGAATCGACCTGAGTTGGTAGAGGGATGGACGAATTCAACACCGAGATAGTTCAACTACGATAACTGTAACTTGTTAGTTTTTATTGTATTTTCTTGGACTGCACCTGAAAGCTCCTGAAGAAATACAGAGCTAATTTTAGGAAATAAACTGCGTAATTTTGTGCTTTTTTGTTCTATATCCCTTTTCACGGGAACTGTATCAACAATCTGTGAACTCGCACTTCATCAACATGTACAGGCACCAACTCGAAGTCTTTGTCAGCAACTGTCCACATTGGATCTTGTTTTAACTCCTCGTGACTCGGACGTATCTAACATTCAATTTTTTCCACCTTTCGGTGCTAGTGATCATGTGGTGTTAACTGTACGCTGGAGACGAGGGACCCCAATCTCATAATTACCCCCAGAGGGTCGAAATGTATGGCGGATACAGTTCGATGACATGCGTGCAGCAGCGCAGTTGTTAAACTGGGAGCCGATTGACAAAGAAGATGTGGAAGAGTCGTGGTGTGTCATCCGAGACTGCCTACTACAGCTGGTGCAACAATTCGCCCCCGTACGCAGGAGCCGACCTCATCCATGGGACCACCCTGGTTCGATAGGGAGCTTAGAAGTATGCTCCGCAGGAGAAGTCGGGTGTGGAAGCACTACCGTGCTACGAATGCAGGCTACGAGGAATACAGACTAAT